TGAAGTCCACAAGTCATAAAAGGGCCAAATTTGAAGACCCTTGATGTAAGCCGTATCATCAATCCCCTCAGCTGCTCTGTTCAGGTAGTTTTGAAGTACAAAATACAAAGATGCTGCTGCATTCCCTTATCTTGTTAGACAGATCATGCCAAACCAATCTTATATCATTCTTTGATAAAGCGACTAAACTAGTAGACCAGCGAAATGCTGTGGACGTAGTATACTTAGACTTCAGTAAGGCATTTGATAAAGTAGACCACAACCTACTCCTTGGTAAGCTAGAAAAAGGTGGAATAGACAAGATGGATGTGTACCTGGCTGGCAAACTGTACTCAACAAGTAGTCCTCAATGGCACTTCATCCACATGGAGAGAAGTAAGCAATGGAGTACTACAAGGTTCCGTCTTAGGCCCAGTACTCTTCAATATCTTCATAAATGACTTAGATGAGGGAATTGAGGGGAACTCATCAAATTTGCAGATGACTGGCAGGGGTAGCCAACACCCCAAAGACAAACTCAGGATCCAAAAAGATCTTGATAAACTTGAACAATGGGCCCTAGCCAACAAAATGAGTTTCAGTGTGGAGAAAAACAAAGTTTTACATTTAGGCAGGAAAAATCAAAGGTACAAGTATAGTTTGGGCGAGACCTGGCTCAAAAACAAGGTGAGAGGGACCTTGGAGTCCTAGTGGACGATCACTTGACCATGAGCCAGCAATGTGCAGCAGCAACCAAAAAAGCTAATACAATTCTGGGTTGCATAAACAGGCATAGAATCAAGATCATGTGAAGTATTAGTACCGCTTTATAAAACCCTAGTAAGACCACACCTGGAATACTGCAGCCAATTTTGGTCACCTTATCCCAAAAAGATGTTGAGAGTTTGGAAAAATTTCAGAGAAGAGCAACTAAGATGATCAAAGGCCTGGAAACCAAAACATATGAGGAACGGCTGCAGGACTTGGGTTTAGCTAGTCTAAAGAAAAGAAGGAATAGGAGAGACATGATAGCAGTGTTCCAGTATTTGAGGGGCTGCTACAAAGAACAGGGGGTCACGTTATTCATCAGAGCACCAGAGGGAAGGACGAAAAACAGTGCTTGGAAACTGATCAAAGAGAGAAGCAACCAGGGATTAAGGAGAAACTTCCTGACAGGACAATCGACCAATGGAACAGCTTGCCTCCAGAAATCGTGGGCGTTCCATCATTGGAGATTTTAAGAGACTGGACAATCACTTGTCTGAAATGGTATAATTGTCCTGCTTGAGCAGCGGGCTGGACTAGAAGACCTCCAAGGTCCCTTCTATATTCTACTCTACTCTACTCTACTCTACTCTACTCTACTCTACTCTACTCTTCCTATCCCTATCCTATCTTGCTTGCTGACTGTGGAATTCTGGGAGTTGAAGTCCATACATCTTTAAGTTGATAAAGTTGAAAAACACTGGTTTGCATACATCAAGTTGACCCTTGACAGCCAAAAATAATTCACATACCTGCAAAACTCTGTGTGTGTGTGTGTGTGTGTTGGATTGTCCAATCAGGTTTGCCATTTTGTCTCTTTAGACGCCCATCTGCTCCCATGGACATCCCTATATATGTAAACACGCACAAACACAGACAGAGGCATATTTCCCCTTAATACCAGACCCATCATTGCATCTGGAGGCAAACTTGCAATTCATTTCCTCATTACGAGTTGTAAAATATCAACATGGGAGGGATATTTTTTTGTGTTTTTCTTTTAACTGGCATGAAATGAACAAATATTTTGACACTGAGTTAATATTTTGCAAAACAAGACTTAATGACCGATCCGGCCACATGTTTTCCCTAGAAATAAGGCTCACTTTCAGGCTGGCAGCCGTAAATTCAGCCAAAATGGGCCCGTTTTATTTTTAGTTTCAACGTTTTATTCAGAGCAGAGCTGAAGCTGAAAAAACAGTGGGTTGCTTAAGGTGAATGGAGAATTCCTCTGGGCAAGGCCAGCCTTGGGACAAGGTTCCTAATTTAATCTCGGCCGCCACGCTTCCCTGCTTCCGTTTTAGCATTGAAAACATGTATCTTTGGCAAATTCGGGGGACTGTTTCCACAGCATCACACTGAACTTAGGACTGAGTAGGATGCAGTTAATGATTTAAAACTTCTGCCGCTAAAGATTTGTTAAAAATTAAATACTGCAGGGGTTAGGATGAAAACCCACCAAAACCCACACATCCCCAAAGAAAATCAGAAATATTTAATTTATGACCTGTGTTTTCTATTAGCATACATATCAGTTTTCTCTCTCTACTTTTCCCCACAACAACCCTCTAAAGTAGACTATACTGGGTGGAGCTGGAGCAAAGTCAAATCATGAGAGTATGGCTGAGGAGGGCAGGCTCTGAGCTGGGTGTCTCTGGTGCCAGGTGAGAACCTTAATCCTGATACCACCCAAAGACAGCATTTTATTCATTACAGGTAAATAAATAATTGCCAGCTTACGACAATTGAGCCCCAAAAATTCTGTTGCCAAGCAAGAGAGTTAAGTGGGTTTTGCCTCATTTTGCAACCTTTCTTGCCACAGTTGTTAAGTGAATCACTGCAGTTCTTAAGTTAGTCACACAGCTGTTAAGTGAATTTGGTTTCCCCTTTGACCTTGCTTGTCAGAAGGTTGCAAAAGAGGATCATATAACCCCAGGACACCGCAATGGTCATAAATATGAGTCAGTTGCCAAGTGTCTGAATTTTGATCATGTGATCATGGGGATGCTGCAACGGTCGTAAGTGTGAAAAATGGCCATCCTCTTCTCTTTCCTTCCATCTTTATCAGCATTAGAGCCATAATAACAACAACAACAATAACGATAATGATAACAATAATAAAGTTGGAAGGGACCTTGGAGGTCATCTAGTCCAGTGATGGTAACCTTTTAGAGACCGAGTGCCCAAACTGCAACCCAAAACCCACTTATGCATCATCGGGTGCTGGGTGGGCGTGGCCCATTGGGTGGACATGGCTGTGGTGGTAACGGCAGACTGGGTGGGACTAAAAAGTTCAATCAATCAATTCCAACTTTGCAAGATCTTTTTTTCCCCCGCGAGAAGTTGAAATTGACTGATTAAACCCTTTTTTTTTTTTTGCACATGACGGCGGAGGCCTAAACCAAAAAGGGTTTATAAAACCCAGTTGAAGGCTTAGGACTGGGGCAACGGCGCGCATGCCCACAGAGAGGCTCTGCGTGCCGCCTCTGGCACCCGTGCCATAGATTTGCCACCACTGATCTAGTCCAACCCCCTGCTCAGGCAGGAAACCCTATACCATTTCAGACAAATGGCTGTCCAGTCTCTTCTTAAAAACTTCTGGTGTTGGAGCATTCACTGCTTCTGGAGGCAGGTTGTTCCACTGGTTAATTGTTCTAACTGTCAGAAAATTTCTCCTTAGTCCTAGGTTGTTTCTCTCCTTGGTCAGTTTCCATCCGTTGCTTCTTGTCCTGCCTTCAGGAGCTTTGGAGAAGAGCTTGACTCCCTCTTCTTCTTTGGGGCAGCCCCTGAGATACTGGAACCCTGCTATCATGTTCCCCCTCGTCCTTCTCTTCGTTAAACTAGACATACCCAATTCCAGCAACCATTCCTTGTCTGTTTTACCCTCCAGTCCCCTGATCATCTTTGTTGCTCTTCTCTGTACTCTTTCTAGACTAGAGTCTCAACATCTTTTCTCTAGTAAGCTGGGCCTTTGGATGATGCGTCCAAAGTATGATAATTTGAGTCTGGTCATTTGTACCTAGATTGAGTCTGGTTTAATTTGTTCAATGACATATTTCTTGGCTGTTCAATGACATTTTCAGACGGTTCCTCCAATCCCAAAATTAATTTCCTTGCTCTTTACCATCAACATACAGATAGTCCTCAAGTTAGAACAATTAGTTTAGTGACTGAAGTAACAACGGCAGTGAAAAAAAAGTGAGTTTTAACTTTTGACCATTTTTTACACTTAACGACCATTGCAGCATCCCCAACAGTCACGTGATCAAAATTTGGATGCTTGGCAAGTGGTTCATATTTATGACGGTTGCAGTGTCCCAGGGTCACGTGATCCCCTTTTGAGACCTTCTGACAAGCAAAATCGGGGAAAGCCAGATTCACTTAACAATCATGTTACAAACTTAACAACTGCAGGGATTCTCTTAACTTGTGGCAAGAGATATTGTACAATGGAGCAAAACTCACCTAACTAACTTGCTTAGCAACAGAAATGTTGGGCTCAGTTGCGGTTCTAAGTCAAAGACTACTCACACCAGTGTTATCATTTCAATAGTCATGGACACCGACTCACAAAATCCTTTGTCAACACAGCCTTTACCAGCCAACCAACTACCCTCCTACAGCTACCACTACGATCTCCATCACTCCCCAGCCAGTCTCTATGGAGATTCTCAGTCATCCAGGTCATGGTTGTCTCAAAGGCGCTTTTTCATGAGGCAACTGGATTTTCTTGTTTTTCTTTGAAGATGTTTCGCTTCTCTTCCAAGAAGCTTTTTCAGCTCTGACTGGATGGTGGGGAATGGAAGGATTTATACTCCTTGCAGACAGCTGGTCATTTGCATGCTTTTAGAGGGTCATTGAGGCCACTTGGAGGTTCATCTGTGTTCTCAGGGTTGTAGACACTGTCCTTTCAGCAATTCCAAGATGGCTCCACACCCATTTGCACTACTCAGCTGACCCCAAGGATACAAATAAACCTCCAAGTGGCCTCAACAACTCTCTACAAGGAATGCAAATGACCAGCTGTCTGCAAGGAGTATAAATCCTCCCATTCCCCACCATCCAGTCGGAGCTGAAGAAGCTTCTTGGCTGAGAAGCGAAACGCTTCAAGGTTGCCTCTTGAAAATGCACCTTTGGGAGTCCACAGCAACGTTTTATACAAAGTTCCTGCCCGTTGAGTAGCCAGCAACTTAATCCTCCGCCAATAGGGGGCACCAAAGAACACAGTTTTTCCGGTGGTCGCTCTATGTAGAACTCTATGATCAGGAGAGAGCTTTCCTTCCTGGACCCGGAAGCTAACTCAACCCACGTGGCGCCGAGGGCGGTAGAAGTTGCTGAACCCCCTGAATTTCTGGATTGAAGAAAGGAGCAGGTAAGCGATGAGCGCGTATTTAGGGCTTTGCCAAAAAGAAAAAGAAAAAGAAATGCCAGAAAAAGGTTTCCGTAGGGTAGTATTTACGTTGTCGGTCATAGAGTCCATGCCGCCTGGGCATTCTGGGAGTTGAAGTCCATGCATCTTAAAGGGGCCGAGATTGAAAAATATTGATATACACCAAATTTCATTCTTCCTTCCCCAAATCCTTTTGGGTTTTATCTTGAAACATTTCCCTCACTCTGACTGAGGCCAGTGCAGCCTGATGCCCTCTATATGGCTCAGATTCCAGTTTACACAATCCCCATATGCTGGGAAACATGGGCTTTGGCACTCCTGGCTGTGCTTGCATGCACACAACCTGAGCTAATGTTCTCATATAATATTTTGGCTTTAAGGGCGCATGTTGGCTACGATGAGAGGCGGATTTTGTGTGTGTGTGTGTTTGTGCACTCGTGCATGCCTGCCTTTTTCACATCTTCCTTTCCATTCAGCCTGTTTCTTTTCATCCCATCCCATCTGCTGTCCCAAAAGTGCTTTTTCCAAAGAGCAAGTGGACTTTCTTGATTTTTTTTCCTTTGAAAACGTTTCGCTTTTCATCCAAGAAGCTTCTTCAGTTCTGAACTGAAGAATTGAATAAACTTTTTGGATGAGAAGAGAAACGTTTTCAAAGTGTCAGAAGTAAGTTTTCATCCTGGTTCATCCAAGCCGGGGATAAATAGGCAACATGGAGACTGCTTTGGGAAGAAGGTTACAGTTTATTGAAGAAGCAGAAAGATGGTCCTTGGAGGAAGGAGCAGAGGAGAGGAAAGAGGAGTTGAGCACATGGGCAGTAGGTTTTTTATATCCTCTCCAGCCTTGTTTGGAATAGTTTCCTGTTCCTGTGGCATGAACCTTGAGACTGTTTATGAGTGTTTGTCTAGGCCTTGATATCTGTGGTTAAATCCTATTATCATATCCTGCTTCCCAGGTGATGGGGCTAATGACTCCTAGAGTTTGGGTGGGGTATGCAGATCTTCTCTTTGTCTTCTTGATTGCTCTGGCTTCAATTCTCTGATGGTTTTACATCTGCATTTGTATGGGGCTAAAGTCTTGCTTGAGGCAGATAGATTTGGGGCCAGGTTTGGTCTTAAAAAAGTCCTTTTGAGGAAAAATATATTTTTCTGCCCTTTTTAATATTTCCTTCTCTGGGCTAACTTCCCTCAAAAATTAAAAAACCAAGGAAGTCCAGTTGTCTTTTGGAAAAAAAAAAACACCTTTAGGGCAACCATAACCTGGATCAGGGGTCTTCAAACTTGGCCCTTTTATGACTTGTGGACTTCAACTCCCAGAATTCCTCTGCCAGCGTGCTGAGGAATTCTGGAAGTTGAAGTCCACAAGTCATAAAAGGGCCAAGTTTGAAGACCCTGACCTGGATGATTGAGAATCTCCATAGAAACGTCCCCATCCTGTTTGGAAAGCAGAGAAGTAAATTTTTTAAAAATGAATGTTTTTTATTTGTCAAATTTAGGACATGGCATTTTTGTCTACTTTGTTGTCAGTTTGAATGTTTTAACTTTTAGTTCCCAGAATTTTAATGCATCTAATCTTTCAACTGTGTTATACTGTCATTTATGGTATTGTAAAGCCACTCAGAATTGCCTGATAGTGATGTGGCCGGCATGTATATTAAATAATTAAATAAATAACAAGCATTCTTTCCTTCAGCTTTGGCCTGCAACAATCCTATTGGTGACCCCTGAATTATTCTAATGATTTTTTTTTCATATCCCTTATTTATGACATTAGAGACAAAGCCGCAACTACTCTTTTTATTATTTCATTTTATTATTTTGAGGATGCCTTTAAGTCAGTTTTGATGCACGGCAACTGCCCTAGACTAGTCCCTGCAGGTTTTTTTTGGCAATGTTTTTCACATGTGGTAGCCCTTGCCTCTTTCTTAGGGCTGAGAGAGACTGACTGGCTCCAGGTCCAGTCAGTGGCTGTGCTGGTTGAGGAATTCTGCAGCTGAAGTTTGAAAGAGGTTGGGAATCCTCGATCTAGGACAGGGGTCTCCAAACTTGGCAACTTTAAGACTTGTGGCTGGGGAATTCTGGGAATTGAAGTCCACAAGTCTTCAAGTTGCCACGTTTGGAGACCCCAGATCTAGGAAATTATAGCATTGCATATAATAATCCATTTCTTTTCTTAAGGTTACATATGAAGAAATAGAAGTGGTAGAAATGGACCCTCTGCATGCCCTTAACGCTGCTTTCCGGAAGGTAGCAAAGACGCCCTTTGTCATTGGTCTTACTGCTCCTTTTAAGAGCACCCGCTACTTCTCCACGTGGAAAAAACCGCCGTTGTTGGAAAACCAGCTTCTTGAGGAAGTAAGCAATAAAAAAGCCATCGCTTTGCAGCCTGAAACGTCTAAGCTTCAGGAAACTGACCTGTTGAACGCCACACCCCGTCCCGGTGGGAAAAAACGCAAGGCCGATGCTCTTCAGAGTAAACCCTTCCAAAAATTCTACACCAAAGCTGTGCCGAGCACCACTAAGGAAGAATTCAGGAACCTGAGAAATGATGATTTTGTCTCCAAGCATAAAAAGCTCCAGAGAAGTCTTCCTCTGCCAGAAAGAACCAACGGCTCGGAGATCTTGTTTGGGACAGCCCCTTGCTCCTTGGCCCTGGGAAGGTCCAAGCGGACGTTTTTCCAGCTCTTCCTCAGAATGAGCCGAGACACAACATCTCCTGGGGCAGAAAAATTCTCCCAGTATGCCGAGGAACGTGGGATCCCGGTGAAGAAGGTGCCCAGGAAAGTGTTGGCTGCCCTTTGTAAAGGGGGCGTCCATCAGGGGGTGTGTCTAGAAGCCTCCCCTCTTCGGCCCCTGGCCTGGCAGGAAGGACCACTCCACCGAGCCCCGGTTGGCAAGGGGTCGCAGTGTATCTGGTTGGTTTTGGAGGGGATACACGATCCCATGAATTTGGGGGCGGTTCTGCGGACGGCGCACTTCCTAGGGGTTGACGGGATTGTGACGAGTGAAAGGAACAGGTGAGCTGGTCTCTTTCAGGCTAGGAAAAGCAATATGTGTTGAACAATATTCACCAAGAATGTTGAACAAAAAGGATGGAGGAAGAGTACAATGAAAATGAAAGTGGTAGGGGGGAGGGGTGGGGTGGGATTAAGTAGATATAGAAATATTAAAGTATGAAATGGATGGAGTAATTTAGAGGGAGGTTCCCCTCGGTGTTTCCACTGAACTGTATCCAAAGAGGGATAAGAAGGGAGGAGGAGGGAAGGAAGGAAGTTGGCTGGGAGGAAGGGGTGAGGGGAGAGAGGAGAGGAGAGGGAGTAGGGAAGTAAGGAAGGAAGGTTGAGAGGGCGGATGCAGTCCGGGGGAGATAGACGAGCGACACCTAAGGTCTTATTTTAAAGGTATTTTTCTCTTTTTTTTTTAGCTTTATATACTGTATATGCCGGCGTATAAGACGACTTAAAATTAAAATCGGCGCCAAAGACGGTCGTCTTATACGCCGAGTCGTCTTATACGCCGAGTCGTCTTATACGCCGGAAATACTGGTAGTTTCCGGCGTATAAGACGACGTTCTAGGAATGCGACTTGGCACCAAAGACGGGGATCGTCTTATACGCCGGGTCGCCTAATATGCCAGCATATACGGTATAATATATGGAAAGTATTATATGTATTGAAAATTCAAATAAAATTAAAAAAAAATGAAAGTGGCTTCCTTTATGACTGCCTTCTTCACTTAACAACCACCGCAAAAAAGGTCAGGCAATTGGGTCTGTCACAGGACCGACCTGTTTTATGACATACAAACATGATGGGCAGGCTCCATGACGATCGTAAATCAAGGACTTCCTGTGTTGAACCAGGCCATAAGTTCTTGATGGTGAACAGCCTTTTCTTCGGAGAAATGCCCGTCTGCTTGGTCAGAAATCCCCGAACCCAGGGCCTGTTCACAATCAATACAGCTGAACCTCAACTTGATCACAGTTGAGCCCCAAATGTTTGTTACTAAGTGAAACAGTTGTTAAGCGAGTTTTGCCCCATTTTGCAACCTTTCTTGCCGCAGTTGTTAAGTGAATCACGGCAGTTGTTAAGTTAGTGACATGGTTGTTAAGTGAATCCGGCTTCCCCATTGACTTTGCTTATCAGAAGGTCGCAAAAGGGGGTCATGTGACCCAGGGACACAGCAACCGTCATAAATAAGAGTCACTTGTCAAGCGTCTGAATTTGGATCACATGATCAATGGGGATGCTGCCATGGCCGTAAATGTAAAAAAAAATGATCATATGTTACCTTTTTCAGTGCTGTTGAAATTTAAAATGGCCATTAAATGAACTGCTGTAAGTCGAGGACTGCCTGTATGCCAAGCAAGAAGTGGAAGTTGATGGACAGCAGAACAATTGAAACAAGGAAGGGAGCCCCTTGTTCAAGCAGTCTGCCTCTGAACATCAGATGTAGAAAAACAGAGCTGTCTCAGTTTGGCTTCACTTGGCAGCTGACTGCTAGTTAAGATGCGTCTTTGGGTTGAGCCAGTTTGGTGTCAATGCTGCTAACATCGGATGTTTTTGCATTGACAACAGAGGGAAATGTAGCCAGCCATCTTTTACCTTTTGATTTTAGAGTTAGATGATGCTGGGAGAGGGGATGTGAACAAGGGTCCAGCTAGACATAACACCACCAAACCTAGGGTGAGAAACGAGGTTATTGTAACCAGAGCTGATAAGGAATTGGGGGCTGGAGAACTAGAGAGGAAGCCCTCGCTTCAAGCTAATTGGGGAATGTGATTTATGACTGTTAATTGGAGGAGGGAATTGTGCTTTGGTAATATGTGCTCAGGGGAGGGGAATTCAGTTTTTGGCTTCGATTATGCAGTGCTGATATTATGCTATTCAAGATAAAGCTTCTTTAAGGTAAACAATGCCTCGAAGTTTTTTTTTGAAGAGTTTCATCTGTTGGAACCTTGACATTTGGGAGTATAACTAGCTCTGAGAGTCAGCAAAGGAGCCTCCATCTCCAGTAATAGTCTATCACTGGAAAGAAGAATGGAATCAAACAAATTTGGGTAGAGGTGTGAAACTGGATCACGTGCTTGGCAGCTCCTCTGAGGTCCCCCATTTCTTTTACTGAACCTGGAACAACCAGATTAGAGTCAGGATTTTGCAATTCTTCTTTTTTTGTTTTAATTTGAAGCATTTTAGATAATTTTGAAAGCTTCTCATCCTTTTGGGGGACTTCTTTTTCTAAACTTTAGCTTTTCTGTTTGCAGCTGCTCCCTGACGCCAGTCGTTAGCAAAGCCAGCTCGGGGGTCATGGAAGTTTTTGATGTATTTAGCACCGATGATGTTCAAGACCTTCTTAAGGTAAAATATTCCCGTTCCTAATAATTTACAACGACAACAAGCTTGAGTTATTTATCTGCGGTGCCAAATAATCGCTAAAAATGAGCAGAGCAAAAAGTTTTAGGTGGCATCAGTAAAATTATTATATGCAAATTAGGGAAAATAGACATTCCACTTGGTTTCCATTAGAAGAGATGAACTGCTCTGGGCACCGAATAGGAGGAGTTTAGACAAATTGGGACAAGTTGAAAGGAGGTCAGTGAAAATATTTGGAGGATTAGAAATTAAGTCAAGAGTGTCCAACCTTGGCAGCTTATTTGAAGACCTGTGGACTTCAACTCCCAGAATTCCCCAGCCAGCCATGCAGACCTTTGGTGTAGTGGGAGTTGAAGTTCACAGGTCATAAAAGGACCAAGTTTGAAGACCCCTGATCTAAGCTAAGTAAGAGGATAACACAACTTTATTCTACCCAATATGATCAGCTTTGGAGTACCAAGCACCACTGTACGGGTTGCCACCTAACTTCGCCCCTTCCTCTCTCCCTCCCAGGCTTATTCCTGCTCCTAATGGTGTAGTATCCTTTTCGGAACCCCAGCTAAAAACCAGGAGACTGAGAGTCTAGTCTGGGGTAGGCAACCTTGGCTCTTTTATGACTCATGGACTTCAACTCCCAGAATTCCTGAGCCAGCATGGCTCAGCATGGAAACCTTTCCCTTTCTCCTCAGCATGGCTGGCTCAGGAATTCTGGGAGTTGAAGTCCATGAGTCATAAAAGAGCCAAGGTTGCCTATCCCTGCAGAGGGATGGAGAAATGACTTAGACCAGGGGTAGGCAACCTTGGCTCTTTTATGACTCGTGGACTTCAACTCCCGGAATTCCTGAGCCAGCATGGCTCAGCATGGAAGCCTCTTCCTTTCCCCTCAGCATGGCTGGCTCAGGAATTCTGGGAGTTGAAGTCCACGAATCATAAAAGAGCCAAGATTGCCTACTACTGATCTAGGCCAGGGGTAGGCAACCTTGGCTCTTTTATGACTTGTGGACTTCAACTCCCAGAATTCCTGAGCCAGCATGGCTCAGCATGGAAACCTCTCCCTTTCTCCTCAGCATGGCTGGCTCAGGAATTCTGGGAGTTGAAGTCCACGAGTCATAAAAGAGACAAGGTTGCCTACTACTGATCTAGTCTGTCTTAGCCATGAAATCCAGGAGGCTGACTCTGTGCCAGTCCTTCACTCTCTGCCCAATTCACCTCTCGGGATGATTGTTGTGGGGAAAATAGAGGGGAGGAAGGAGGATTATGTATGTTTGCTGTCTTGAGTTACTTACACAGTAATAAAGTTTTTTAAAAAGTAAAGGAGATCCTGCGGATTTTACTCTGCTAGTCATTGCTGACTCATCTCCATTTCAACGGTCACTGAGCCAGCGCTGTACAAAGACATTTCCATGGCCAGTGTGACATCATGGAGCGCTGTTAACTGGAGTGGTACCTATTTATCTACTCGCATTTGTGTGCTTTTTAAAAAAATATATTTTATTTTATTGATTTTTTAAATATAAACACCTTATATTTGGTAAACAGCGTGTTGTCTGGGTTTATATTTACAAAGTAATTACTGACAGTTAGTTTCTACATTCCAAAATCCACACAATAGCTTTGCTTGATTTTTTCTTCCAAGAATATTCTCTTTGCAACCTTAAATTAATACAATTCTTACTAATTTGATAAGTAACAATTAAATATTAAGATTTTTAAAATTTTTTTACCAATGCTAATCACATCAATATCATGCTTCTTTTCTATCTGGTCATCTTGGTTGCCTCGTCATAAATCCTGTTTACAATTCTTATTTAAATTTATTTTCCCTACAATGTTCAAAATATTTCTGCTGGTTAAAATTTTCCCAGAATGAATTACCTTAAAGTATTGAAATCTGTTTTCATGTCTTCAAAAATAAGTAAGAAAAAGACACAAAAGAAAAACATAGAAAAAGAAAAGAGAGGAAAAAAAGGAGAAAAGAAATAAGAAAATAATACGCTGCTTAAAATACATATCCCTCTTGAACTAGTATGCATTTATTTCCAATTTTTTTCTGTTCTTTTTACCCATAATTAAACCTATGTTTAATCTTCAAATGTTCCATTTAATAAATCCAATCCTCTAATCTTTTAACTCTGTTTCAAAACATTTGTGTGCTTTCAAAACATTTGCGTGCTTTGAATTGCTAGGTTGGGAGGAGATGAGATGAGGATGGGAACTCACCCCTCGCTTGGCACTTGGGACTCAAACCTGAGCTGCTGGCTTTCCAGCTGGTAAGCCCAGCAGCTTAAGTATTTCTTTATGGCAATAATAAAGGTGGGATAAAACTCTAATAAATAAACAAGCCAATCTCAGACAGCGTGGCCAATTATACAGGGTGGAAGGCACTAAGTTACCCATCTTTGACTATTAGCTGCCTTGGCAGCCTGAAGATGCGTGGACTTCAATTCCCAGCATGCTAGCTGGGGGATTGAAGAGTTGGGAGTTTAAGTCCACGCATTTTAAAAATACCAAGATTGAGAAATACAGTACATACTGCTCCGGAATACGAGTTGTTGTAATACAACAAATGGACATGGGATGGCAGCATAGGGCTACAGTTGAAAACAATTTTTCTTCCCCCCATTTCTCTTTCTCTCCCTCTCTCCCTCCCTCCCTCCCTCCCTCCCTCCCTCCCCCCTCCCTCTCTCCCCCCCCTCTCAAAAATGGTGGCTAACAATAGAGGTTAAATGTTGGCCTGGCTCCTTTGACATCTTCTCAGTGTGCCCTGCAGGAGAGTTTGCCTCGATGAAAACCATGGTGCAAATTTCTCTTGTTTTGTTTTTTAACTGGATCCAAATTCTCTTGTTTTGTTTTTTAACTGGATCCATAAATTTGACTGGGTGATGGGTTGGAGGACTGCCAGTTTCTGAGAAGAATAAGGAAGAAAGCCAAATTCATAACTGGCCGGGGGGATTCTAGGAGTGGAGATCTGCCCATCTTCAAGCATATTGGCTGGGGGATTCTGGGAGTTTATTTATTTTTTATGCCATCCAATTCCCATATAAGGTGACTCTTGACAGGCTGGGGAATTCTGGAAGTTGAAGTCCACCCATCTTACAGCAGGCTGGCTGGGGAATTCTGGGAGTGGAAGTCCACCCATCTTCAAGCATGTTAGCTGGGGGATTCTGGGAGTTGAAGTCCACCCATCTTCATGTTGCCATGGTTGAGAAACATTGGATTAGTCAATAGAAACTATTCTTATTTATTTATCTGTTTTTTCCCTAGATTAATACCTATTTCACATAAGGCAGCATGCATAGCAACATGACCAAAAACCAACCAGGATAATTTTTCCTTATTCCCTCCAGGAAGCAAAAGAATTAAGCTTTGTGTATGGAAAGCAAAATGTTGCACAGGTCTGAAACTTGAGTGACTTTTTTTTTCCTTCCCCCCCTCTCTCCCCTCCCCTCCCAAGACAAAATCTGAAGAAGGTTGGGAAATCCTCGGGACGGTCGGCCATGGAAAGATTCCGGGGGAGACGCCGGTTGTCACTTGCTCAGACTTTCGCTGGACTCAACCCACCATATTGTTACTTGGTAGGTAACTTTTTCCACGGAGTGGAGAGCGTGTGTGTGGGGGGGGGGAACAGGGAAAAACCATCCCTGCCACCCTGTGGTGTGGGAAATTCTTTTCTTGTTGGTTCAAATAGATGGGGCTCTTTTCATCTGCTTTCCAGCAGTCAGCAAAAGGAGATTCTTTCTGTTGAAAAATGTAACACCAGCAGGGTAGAGACACGTCAGGAATCTGACCATGTTTTTATCGTGGCCAGATTGTAAGGTGAAACTTAAAAGGAGCCACCAATTAGATCCTGAATCCTGGATGAATGGGAAACAGCATAGAGGAATATTTTTCAATTCTCTCTTCTCTCCTCCTTCTCTTTCTCTTCTTCCCCTTCTCTCCTTGTTCCTTTCTCTTTTTCTTCTCTTTGTCTCCTTCCTTCCTTCCTTCCTTCCTTTCTTCTTTCTCTTTTTTTCTTTCTTTCTTTTTTTCTTTCTTTCACTTTTTCTTTTTTTCACTTTTTCTTTTTCTTTCTTTCTTTCTCTTTTTCTTTCTTCTTTCTTTTTCTTTCTTTTTTTCACTTTTTCTTTCTTTCTCTTTTCTTTCTTTCTTTCTTTCTTTCTTTCTTTCTTTCTTTCTTTCTTTCTTTCTTTCTCTCCTTCCTTTCTCTCCTGCTCTCTCCTTCCCCTTCTTTCTTTTTCTTTTTCTCTCCTCCTCCCTTTCTTTTGTCTCTTTTCTTCCGTTCTTCTCCTATCTCCTTCTGTCCTTTTCCTTCTCTCCTCCTTCTTCTCCTATCCTTCTCCTCTCCTTTTCTTCTCCTTTTTCTTCATATTATTATTATTAATTATCTTACCTGTCTTATCTATACAACTGAAAGCGGTAAACATACTAATTCTCCTGTTTTCCCTACAATAACACCCCTGCAAGGTGGGCTGGGCCAAGAAGTTGATCTTTGAGCACTACAATCAATGTTTCTAGAGCAGTGGTTCTCAACCTTTTTAATGCCGCGACCCCCAACCGGTCGTAAGTCGAGGACTACTCAACCGGTCGTAAGTCGAGGACTACTCAACTGGTGCAGCACCGTTTGCAGACTGGGACTTTTGGCGGGCTCAGCAGGGCAGAGACAGCCTGGACAATTCCTATTGGCTTTTGAAAGCCAATAGAATTAGACTCTGTTCAAGAGAGTCTGTTCTATTGGCTTTCGAAAGCCAATAGAATAAAAGGGAGTAGCACAGCTAAGGAAAAGGGGGAAAAAATGGCAGACTGCGTTGTTTGGCGACCCCCGTGAAATGGTCGCTCGACCCCAAATGGGGTCCCCACCCATAGGTTGAGAACTGCTGTTCTAGAGTCATTTCCTTTATAACAAAGTTTTCCAATCCTTTTTTCCTTGTGATTAGTTTTGAAGCTATTGTTTCAAAAAGACGATTTTATGTATTTATATACATATATTTGTTCATTGCTTTAGCACATTTTTTTAAAATGTCCCTTTTACCTGCATCCTTTGGTCATCTAATTCTTAAAACAAATCCTTCCTCTGAGCCGAAGGCAGAGGTCTGAATTGTAGCATCTGCTCTTGTTTAGCTGGGTGGCAGTTTAATTGCTAATCAATCGAAAGCTCTAATTAAGCTTCCACTTGTCATGTTGGCCTAGTAACTCTGCTGAAGTGATCAGGGAAAGGAAAAGAGTTTCTGGTTTCAGGGTCTGCCATGAAGTAATCTAGGGCTAGAAGTGTGGAAAAAAACCTGTAATTCTTTCATATATTGTCAACTTCTGAAACAAGCCTGGCTGAAGCCATCTTTGTTGTTCTAAGTTTCCACATAGGTTGCGGGGGAAAGAAAATGAAAGTAAGCTAGACTTTATATACTTTATATCAGGGGCCTTCAAATGCGTGCCTGGCTGAGGAATTCTGAGAGTTGAAGTCCACGAGTCATAAAAGGGCCAGGTTTGAAGGCCCCTGCTTTATATAAATAATACCATTTCAATGATTCTCGTGGCCATCTTCAAAGGGAAACCATTTTGTGATTAGACCAGTTTTCCTCAGCCTCAGTCATTTCAAGATGTGTGGATTTCAAGTCCCAGAAGATTCTGGGAGTTGAAGCCAATGCATCTTCAAAGTGGCTGAGGCTGTGAAACAATGGAGTAGATCCAGAATAAACCAGGAGTTTGACTGAAAAAGATGTTGAGACTCTAGAAAAAGTACAGAGAAGAGTAATAAAGATGGTTAGGAGGCTGGAGGCTAAAACATATGAAGGAATTGGGCATTTCTAACAAAATCACAAATACGGTCATGTGACTGCAGGATGCTGAAATAGCCATAAAGGGGAGCTGGCTGCCAAGCAACCAAAATGTGATCACATGATCTTGGTGTGGGCATGGCCACCGTAACTCTGAAAATGAGTTGTATGTAGCTAGGCCGCAGGGGTAGGCAACCTTGGCTCTTTTATGACTCGTGGACTTCAACTCCCAGAATTCCTGAGCCAGCCAAGCTGAGGGGAAAGGAAGAGGTTTCCAAGCTGAGCCATGCTGGCTCAGGAATTCTGGGAGTTGAAGTCCACGAGTCATAAAAGAGCCAAGGTTGCCTACCCCTGGTGTAATTTAATGAAAAGAAGGACCAGGGGTGACATGATAGCAGTCTTCCAATATTTGAGGGGCTGCCACAAAGAAGAGGGAGTCAAGCTATTCTCCAAAGCACCTGAAGGCAGGACAAGACACAATAGATGGAAACTAACCAAGGAGAGAACCAAACTAGAACTAAGGAGGAACTTCCTAACAGTGAGAACAATTAACCAGTGGAATGACTTGCCACCAGAAGTTGTGGATGCCCCAATACTGGAGGTTTTTAAGGGGAGACTGGACAGTCACTTGTCTGAAATGGTATAGGATCTCCGCCTGAGCAGAGGATTGGATTAGAAGACCTGGCTCAAAAATATCTAGTGAACCTCTATGACTGGAGAGAGCCTCAAACGTGGGTCTCCAGCTCCTTGTCCGACCTTCCCCACTGCCCCACAAAGGACCTGGGTTTGAGAGGGAGGGACCAGCCCAGAGGTCTCAAGGACCACAGCCTGGTTCTCTCTGCCCTGGCTTGGCCCCACCTCTCCAGGACTCCCGGCCACTGGGCTCTCAAAGAGAATGAAATGGAAGTAAGATGTACGTGCTAAAAAATAAATAAATCCATTTTGAAACTGTCTAGATCTAAATTGCTCTTCTTTTTCCTTTTGACATATGCATGCAGGGAATGAAGGTTACGGCCTGTCCCCGGAGACAAAAAAGTTATGCCACAGGATGTTGACCATCTCTCCTGGAAGAGATTTGGAATTTGGGGTAGAATCCTTAAATGTGTCAGTGGCAGCCGGTAAGAGGATTTGCCTTCTCTCTATATGTGCCTTCTCACGCTGTGTTGTGTGTTTGGCTTCTCAGAGGAAAAAAAGAGTTTGGAAATAGCTAATATGTTTTCATGTTTCCTTCCTTCCCTACCTCCCTATCTACTTCTTTCCTTCTCTCTATCCACCTTCCTTCTTCCTCCTTCCTTCTTCCCTTCCTCCCTCCCCTTTTTTATCCGCTTTCTTCCTTCCTTCTTGGTATCCACCTTCCTTCCTTCCTTCCTTCCTTCCTTCCTTCCTTCCTTCCTTCCTTCCTTCCTTCCTTCCTTCCTTCCTTCCTTCCTTCCTTCCTTTCCTTCCTTCCCACCCTATTTTTTCTATCCACCTCTTTTTCCCTTCCTTCCTTCCTCCCCCTCCTTCCATTTTTCTATCCTCCCTCCCTTTATCCATCTTTTTTCCTTCTCTCAATCCACCTTCCTTCTTTCCTCTCTCCCTTCGTCTCTTCCTACACTCCCTCCCTTTTTCTCTTTATCCACCTCCCTCCCCATATTTTTTCTATCCACCTATTCCTTCTTTCTATCCACCTTCCTTCCTCCCTCCCTCCGATTTTTTTTCTATACACTTTCTTTCCTTCTCTTTCCACCTTCCCTCTCTTCTTTCTCTTTGTCTACCTTCTCTCTACCCTCCTCTCTCCCTTCTTTTTCCTTCCACCCCCTCCCTCTTTTTTTTTTTTTTTAAAAAAACTCTTTTCAGGCATTCTTTTGCATGCCATCTGCAATCAGAGAAATAACCACCCCAAAATTACTGCATCTGAAGGAGAAGAAGCAGACTCTACGGCTGTAAAAGACTGCAACCACGAAAGTCAGCCAACAAACATCCTGGCATAGAATGAATTTCAGACAGCTGAAGAACTCTGCAGCTCAGAGAGGAACACCTAAAATGGAGGCAGCCAGACCTCTGGGATGTATTTTCACTCCATGTTGTTTGTGCTTCATCTTGTGCACTTTTGAATTTTAGAGGTCCCTGGAATCCTCTTTTGCAAAATTTCAAGAGTGTCTTGTCCTGCCTGAAAACAATAAACACCTTCCTGGTATCCTAATGCCTAAAGCTTTGTCAAAGAAATCCACCCGTTATAAAAAAGCCTCATTTGCCAGGTCAGAAAGAAGTCACTGCTTCTTAGTTTTTATAGCTCTGATCCTTTTGCAGGTTAGAAATTCTGAATGAAAACCGCTGGATGAAAGTCGGAAGGAAGTTAGTTTTGGGGCTGCACCTCTCCTACACTGAAAAGCAATCATTTAACCCTCTGGCTGTTTTTAATCTTTTAAAATTTGTAATCCGTGACCTCCAGGAGAGGATGGCGTTTTTAAAACCTGGGTTAAAAAAAGATCCAGCCTCTTGGTTTGTCCCTAGATTTTGGGGGGGGGGGGGGCAGAATGATTGGAAGGACTTGCGATATGTCCACTAGATGGTGGTGTGGTTGTGTGTTCCTTAATTTCTCCCAGGAGAAAAAGGTGGAATCAGTTGTCGCAAGGCCTCAGAGCATTAATTCTTGTTGGCATGAAGAGATGAAAATAAAGCCTGTTTCTTTCTCTGGCGTCCTGGTCTGACTTTATATATTCCCTATGCACCCCATTACAAGCCAGTCCTATTGGGAAAAAAAAACCCAAGAGAAAACTATACTTTGCAATTAAAAGTTGCATCTTGCGCTGGTCCTTAGCAATGATTTCCAGTTGATGATGACAATAATAATAATAATAGTAATAATAATAAGTCTGGATAGTGGACGTGGCAGTGCCTGGAGACAGCAGAATAGACGAGAAAGAACTGGAGAAGATAACAAAATACAAAGACCTACAAATAGAAATAGAAAGACTGTGGCAAAAGCAAGCAAGGGTAGTACCAATAGTAATAGGCTCCTTGGGTACAATCCCAAAACAACTGGAGCACCACTTGAACACCTTTGGCATTGACAAATTCACTATTAGTCAATTGCAAAAGGCGGCCTTACTAGGAACTGCTTCCATCCTGCGACGATATCTGTAATACCATCAAACATCCACATCTGTCTATCCCAGGTCCTGGGTAAGGACTCGATGGTAAACAAAAATGCCGAATCCAGTCTGAACATCTGGCTGACTGTGTGATGATCAATAATAATAATAATAAAAATGGAAGGGATCTTGGAGGTCATTAGTCCAACCCCCTGCTCAGGCAGGAAACTCTATACCATTTTGGACAAATGGCTGTCCAGTCTCTTCTTAAAAACTTCCAGTGTTGAAGCATTCACTGCTTCTGGAGGCAGGTTGTTCCACTGGTTAATTGTTCTGTCAGGAAGTTTCTCCTTAGTTCTAGGTTGCTTCTCTCCTTGATCAGTTTCCATCTGTTGCTTCTTGTTCTGCCTTCAGGCGCTTTGGAGCATAGCTTGACTCCCTCTTCTTTGTGGCAGCCCCTGAGATACTGGAACACTGCTATCATATCCCCCCTCGTCCTTCTCTTCGTTAAACTAGACATACCCAATTCCAGCAACTGTTCCTTATATGTTTTAGCCTCCAGTCCCCTGATCAAGTAGACAGTCTCCCCCTCTCCCACCCCCCCTGCAAAATAGAGGTTGCTCAGTTTCCTCCTCGTTTTGGGCATGGTGGTGAAAGTACAGGCAGTCCTCGGCTTATGACTACAATGGGACCCGGAATTTCCATCGCACATAATGATAGTCATAAGTTGAAAAATCCACATGACTGGCCCGATTTTATGAGATTTTTTTTTTGCAACTGGTCGTAAAGTGAACGCCGTGGTCATTAAACAAACACATTTATTCATTTAAAACATTTATATCGTTTCCCCATCTAATAACCAATTTGGAACGGACCTCCAATTGTCCGCAGGGAGCATTTTTTTTGCTGGAAACTTGCAAAAAGTATCATCGGTTGCAGCTATGCCATTGCAGGATGCTTCAAACAGCTGTAAGTGTGGGCCGGTTGCCATGTACCAAAATGCAATCGCATAACTGTGTGGTATGTGTGTGTGTGTGTGTGTTTGTGAGAGAGAGAGGGGGAGAGAGAGAGAGAGAGAGAGAGACAGACAGACAGATAGACAGACAGACACAACTTCCAGCTTAAATATTTAAAAGTCCAAGATTATTTTCATTTCTGAAAAGCATACTGTTTGTTGAATATATTGTCCCTTCCAACTCAGTTATTCTATGATTCTGTAAGGGTCTCCTGCTTGAGCAGGGGGTTGGACTAGATGACCTTTAAGGTCCCTTCCAACTCTGTCCTTCTGTGATTCCATATTGCCTGGTAAAGGTGAGGTTAAAACTAATTCTAAACTCCCAAGGCATCAGACCATAGCCTATAACAATAACTTTCCCAGCCAAAGCCCACCAGGTGTCCATGTAGCTCATGTAAACATGTTCTCTTTGTTTCGAGACCTGTCATCTTCTTTACACCTGGCTAGAATGGCCTTGGAAGATTTCCATAGTGCTGACTTTCAGCAAGCTTCCATAAATCTGGAAAGGTTTCATTTCTCTAGATAACCCACTCAAAAACACCTCCCCCTTTTATTCTAATGGAAAGATGCAAACAAAGAGGCACGTAGCTGACAAATTTTCATTCTTGACAGACAGAGAGAAAAACCACTGGAACATTCAGTTACTTGTCTGAAATGTATAGATTCTCCTGCTTGAGCAGAGGGCTGGACTAGAAGACCTCCAAGTTCCCTTCCAGATTCTATTCTATTCTATCCCATCCCATCCCATCCCATCCCATTCTATTGTTCCTGTTCTGTTCTGTTCTCTTCTCAATAAAGACTATTATTTATTCTACTCTATTCTACTCTACTCTATTCTACTCTACTCCATCCCATCCCATCCCATCCTATTGTTCCTGTTCTTATTCTTGTTCTGTTCCGTCCCATCCCATTCTATTGTTCCTGTTCCTGTTCTATTCTATTCTATTCTATTCTATTCTATTCTATTCTATTCTATTCTATTCTATTCTATTCTATTCTATTCTATTCTAATTTGGATCATAAGTACCTTTTTGGAGATTCATCATAATTTCAAAAAGTCTCTAAGTGATTGCTCATAAGTCGAGAACTACCTGTATTTCCAGCCCCTCCTTGGTCATGCACCCAATTTAAAAGGCTTGGAACAATTTTAAAGTTTCCATTCCTCCTTGTTTTTCTTCTATTCTCCGATATTCCTCTGCAGGAAGGCAGAGGAAACGTCTGCCCCCAGGATACACATAGCTCAAAATTCAGCCTGACGAAGGAGATACGTTTAAGATCATTGAGCATTTGGCAGCACAGTTATATAAATGCCGGTGGAGATTTTACCTGGTGCAAATTAGTTTGACTTTGAATCGGGTTTTGGAACCAATTACACCCCAAACCATCATTTGCTTTAACGTTTGTAATAGAGTCATCTGCAGGAATGGTCAAAAAAATCAAGACAGTGACTATATAGATCCAGGCAATCCTCAAATTACGACCACGATTGAGCCCAAAATTTCTGTTACTAAGTGAAACATCTGTTCAGTAAGTTTTGTCCCATTTTGCGGCTTTTCTGGCCACAGTTGTTAAGTGAATCATTGCAGGTGTTAAGTTAGTCACACAGTTGTTAAGTGAATCTGGCTTCCCCGTTGACTTTTCTGGTCAAACGGTCGCAAAAGTGGATCACATGACCCCAGGGCACAGCAACGGTCATAAATATGAACCCATGGCCAAGCATCTGAATTTTAATCATGTGACCATGGAGATGCTGCGACGGTTGTTAAATGGAAAAATGTCATAAGTTACTTTTTTCAATGCTGTGGTAACTTTGAACGGTCACTAAACGAACTGTTGTAAGTCGAGGACTACCTATAGTCCTGGACTTGGTCACCAGTCACTTAGTGACTGTTCAGAGTTACAATGGACCTCCCCCGGGGCTACTTATGACCTGAATGTAGAGTTATGATGCCCCCCTACCCCCCACCACCTGATTACATAATCCCTTGCCTTGCATTTATGGCTGTTTGCAGTGACCTGCAATCACATTTTGTATTTTTTTGTATTTAATTTTATTTATATGCCGCCCAATCCCAAAGGACTCAGGGCGGCGTACAGAATTAAAACAATCATAAAATAATAAAATAATAAAATAATACAGTCATACCGTGAGTCCGATCATATCCCGGCCCTCCCGGGGACATCAGCCCCAGGCCTGCCGGAACAGGAGAATTTTAACGGCTTTCTTAAAGGCCGGCAGGGTGGGAGTAGTTCGAACCTCGGGGGGGGGGAGTTGATTCCACCAGGTCGGAGCCACCACAGAGAAGGCCCTTCCCCGAGGGCCCGCCAGCCGACATTGTCTGGCCGACGGGACCTGAAGGAGGCCCAATCTATGGGACCTCACCGGTCTCTGGGAACTATGCAGCAGAATGCGGTCCTGTAAGTAACCTGGCCCTATGCCATGAAGGGCTTTAAAGGTGATAACCAACACCTTGAATTGCGTCCGAAGACCCACAGGAAGCCAGTGCAGCTCGCGGAGGATAGGTGACACGTGGGCGTACCTTGGCGCGCCCACAATCGCTCTTGCGGCTGCGTTCTGAACCAACTGCAGCCTCCGAACGCCCTTCAAGGGTAGCCCCATGTAGAGCGCGTTACAGTAATCAAGTCTTGAGGTGACAAGGGCATGAGTGACTGTGAGTAAAGCCTCCCGGTCCAAATAAGGCTGCAACTGGTGCACTAGGCGAACCTGTGCAAAGGTCCCCCTGGCCACAGCCGATAGATGTTGTTCCAAATTTAGCTGTGAGTCCAGGAGGACACCCAAGTTGTGTGCCTGCACTGAGGGAGGTAAATTTGTCTGCCGTTTACATTTTTTGCCAAAAAGTATGTTTACTTCTGATTTCCACCATTGTAGACAATGGGTTTATTTAACAACCATGAATAGAACAGAATAACAGAATTGGAAGGGACCTTGGAGGTCTTCTAGTCCAACCCCTGCTCAGGCAGGAAACCCTATACCAGGGGTAAGCAACCTTGGCTCTTTTATGATTTGTGGACTTCAACTCCCAGAATTCCTGAGCCAGCATGGCTCAGCATGGAAATCTCTCCCTTTCCCTTCAGCACGTCTGGCTTAGGAATTCTGGGAGTTGAAATCCAGAGTCATAAAAGAGCCAAGGTTGCCTACCCCTGCCCTATACCATTTCAGACAAATGGCTGTCCAGTCTCTTCTGAAAAACTTCCAGTGTTGGAGCATTTACAACTTCTGGAGACAAATTGTTCCATTGATTAATTGCTCTGTCAGGAAATTTCTCCTTAGTTCTAGGTTGCTTCTCTCCTTGATTAGTTTCCATCCGTTGCTTCTCGTTCTGCCTTCAGGCGCTTTGGAGAATAGCTTGACCCCCTCTTTTTTGAGGGAGCCCCTCAAATATTGGAACACTGCTTTTTCTTCTTTTCTTCTTTTCATTAAACTAGACATACCCAAACAAGACATACCACGTAACAAACATAGGTGGTTAGTTAACAACCACTAGAAAATAAATTGTAAAATTAGGTGCCGTCACCAGATCACTCACTTTACAAACCTAATTCTGGGCTCAGTTACATCGTATGTTG